AAAATTCAAAATAGATTACAATACTTGACTTAGGTCATTACATTGACCTGAAATATCGGGTTGTCACATCATCCCCCCGTTAGAGAGAATTTTGTCCTAAAATTTATTCTAAGATAAGTATTTATGGACTAGGGAAAAGATGCGGGTATTTTAATTTTATCTAATCTTCGCGCTCCCAAGTGTACTGAGGTCCTCGCTTTGCATTCCAGGGAACCTTCACAATTGGTATGCGACTTGTTTTCTTTTAATTTCCCTATCCATGATTTCTACTCGTGCGTCTAGAAATTAAAGACTCTCGTTGATTTTGATTTCGTCCATAGGGACGACGAGGGTCTCATCTTACAAGCACTTCTTTAAGTTTGACACATGAAAGGTAAAATGTATGTTATTGAGTTCATGCTGTAATCGAAGCTTGTATGCTACCAGGCCGATCGTGGCAAGGTTCTTGAATGGTCTGATATACCTTGGATTTAGTTTACCGTGTTTACCAAAACGTATTAATCCCTTCCAGGATGAGACCTTCAATAGCACTCCATCCCCAACATGAAATTCCAAGGGTTTCCGTCTTTTGTCCGCATAACTATTTTGTCTGTCTCTTGAAGCTTTTAGTCGTTCCCGGATTTGGACAATCCTCTCGGTCGTTTCTCTTATGATTTCCGGGCCGGTGAGAGTGCTATCAGGTACTTGTCCTTTAGCTAGTTGTGTGTCGCCCACTTCAGCCCAACATAGAGGTGATCTGCACTTGCGACCGTAGAGGGCTTCAAATGGAGCAACCTTGATGCTAGTGTGATAGCTATTGTTGTATGAGAACTCGACTAGTGGTAAATTGGTATCCCATGCGTTACAAAATCAATCACACAAGCTCTTAGCATATCTTCCAAGGTTTGAATGGTCCTCTCACTCTCATCGTCGGTTTGTGGATGGTAAGCGGTATTCATGTCTAGTCTCATTCCTAGAGATTTTTGTATTGACTGCCATAACCGTGAGGTGAATCTACTATCTCTGTCGGAGATAATCCATATTGGTACACCATGCAGTTGCACAATCTCTCTGACGTATGTTCTGGCTAGCTTCTCCATTTTGTCAGTTTCCTTTATTGGTCGGAAGTGGGCAGATTTGGTTAATCTATCGACAATCACCCAGATGGTGTCAAGTCCGCCCGTTGTTTTGGGTAACTTGGTTATGAAATCCATGTTTATCCGCTCCCACTTCCACTCGGGTATTTCAGGTTGTTGTACCAATCCTGAGGGCTTCTAGTACTTTACTTTGACTTTGGCACAAGTCAAACACTTGCCTACATAGGAAACAATCTTGGCTTTCATGTTCGGCCACTAATACAATTTCTTGAGGCCCAGATACATCTTGTATGAACCGGGATGCATGGAGTATAGAGTCTTATGAGCCTCATTCATGAAAACATCTCCGAATCCACCAAACTTCGATGTCTAGATTCGATTCATGAAGTAACGAACTCCGTCCCCTTTGACTTCAAGTTTCTTATCCATTCCTCTTAAGGCTTCGCCAACCACTTTTTCTGTTTTCAAGGATTCCTTTTACGCTTCCTTGATTTGCGTGGACAGCTCTGAATGGATCGTCATGGTTAAGGACTTCACTCGACAGCCCTATTATTCCTTTCGACTAAGAGCATCAGCTACTGCATTAGTTTTTTCCCGGATGATAACGAATTTTTCATTCGTAATCGCTCAGTAGTTCAACCCATCGTCTCTATCTCATTTTAAGTTCTTTTTGGTTGAGAATATGATAAAGGATCTTGTGATCGGTGAAGATTGTGCATCTCGTGCCATAGAGATAGTGCCTCCAGACCTTTAAGGCGAAAACGACTGCTCCTAGTTCTATGTCGTGGGTATTATAGTTGACTCGGTGCGTCTTGAGTTGTCTCAAGGTGTACGCGATGACTTTTCCTCGTTGCATTAGAATACATCCCAAACCTTGGTTTGATGCATTTCAGTAGACCACGAAGTGTTCGGTTCCTTCTGGAAGGGATAGTATAGGTGCGCTGCATAGGGCTTGTTTCAATGTTTGGAACGTAGGATCTTGCTTTTCTCCCTAATTGTAGGTTACACCCTTCTAAGTCAGGGTGGTATTGGCAATCTTTGAGAAGTTTTGTATGAATCTTCAGTAATAGCCAACAATGCCCAAGAATTGTCGGATTTCTGTTGGAGTTCTTGGAGTTGAGTAGTTCTCGATTTCCTTGATTTTGAAAGGGTCCAAGTGTATCCCTTCTTTGCTAACTAGGTGAGCCAGGAAATCTACTTTCCGAATCCAAAATTCGCACTTTGAGAATTTTGCGTATAGTTTCTCTTTCCTTAATGTTTCCAAGATCTGTCGGAGATGTTGACTATGTTCTTTTTTTCTCTGCGAATAGATGAGTATATCATCTACTAACACAATCACAAATTTTTCTAGGGAAGAATGACATACTCTATTCATTAAGTCCATGAACACCGCCGGTGCATTTGTCAATCCAAAGGGAATCACTACAAACTCGTAGTGACCATAACGAGTTCGGAAGGCCATCTTGGGGACATCTCCTTCCAGGACTCACAACTGATGATACCCAGATCTCAAATTGATATTTGAGAAATAACTTGCTCCTTGGAGTTGATCGAACAGATCGTCTATGCACAATAGAGGATATCAGTTCTTGATTGTGAGCTTGTTTAGTTCTCGGTAGTCGATGCATATGCGAAATGATCCATCCTTTATTTAGTAGCTCATTTAGTTGGCTAGATAATTCTTGCATCTCTACCGGGGCTAGACGTACGACGATTTTGCTACTAGGGTACCTCCAGGAATCAAGTCGATTATGAAATCAACTTGATGTTCTTGTGGAACTCCTAGAAGATCCTCGAGAAAGACATCAGGGAAATCGTAGGCTTCTGGAATGTGTTTGATATCTTTCGTTTCTTTTTCGTTATCTACCACATGGGTTAGGAAAGCATGGTATTCTTTACGCAGGTAGTTTTAGGCTTTGACGCAAGAGATGGTTTGTAAATTGGTACCGCGTTTATCACCATAAATGATAAGAATTTCGCCATTTGGAAGATTAAGGTGAATGGCCCTTTCGTGACAAAGTATATCAGCATGGTGAAGGCTTAATCAATCCATACTGATGATGACATCAAATCTTCTTATAATGATCAACATTAGATCGATTTGGAACAAGTGTTCATTTAAATCTAGTGTGTAGTCTATGTACATATCGTTTGTGCTTTCTATTTTACCATTTTCCATTTCTATTGTAAATATCTTATTAAGTGATTGGGGGTTTTGCTTAAGTAATTGTTTGAATTTATGTCTCACAAAACTCCTCTCCGCACCACAATAAAAAAGAATGCATGCATGAACGTTATTAAGGAGAAACGTACCCGTAACCACCGTGGGATCAGCTATTGCTTTGTTCTGCCCTATTTCCAGCACTCTTCCTACACCGCTAGTATTCCTTGACTTAGGGCAATCTCTCTTGTAGTGCCCAACTTTGCCACACCCATAACACGCTTGGCCTACACCGACTCCAGGAACTTGGGTGATTGGTTGTGCTGGTGCCTTACAGAAACGGGCAGTGTGCCCTTTCCTATTGCATTTATTACTGTGCATCACCCTATAATTTCCATTGTGATGGAAATTGCATTTGTTGTACTTCGCTAGGTTTCCAACATATTGCTTTGCTGGTGTAGGGGTAATAGGAACAATGGTGGGGGCAGTAGCGGCATGAAATGTCACTAGCTGTTGTTTCTTGGAAGGTTCTTGCGAAGGTTGACCCTTCCTTTTGTTCCAAAAATTCTTCTTGTTGTTGTAGTTGGTATCTATGGTTTGCTTTAGAATTGCAGTCATGAATCCTTGGCAGACACCATGGTTAACGAAGGACTATGCCAACTGTTTGGCACTATCGAAAGTAACTGGTTTGGAAGCTAGTACACTTCCTTGAATCTGGGGTGACAGTCCTCGATATATCTCTTGATCTTATTTCTCTCTATAGCAACCATTCCCAGGCAAAGTATTGACAAGTCACTAAACCTATTGGTATAGATGTCCGAGCCTACTACTGTAACGCCCCAAGGCTCTTATTCGAGCTTTTTCACTTCGCCTCTCGGATAGTACTCTTGCATGAGCATTTGTTTCAGGTTTTCCCATCCCATGGAGTTAGCCACTACCAGATTTAGTGACTTGATGTGACCATTCCACCATGTTAGGGCTCGTTCGGAGAAAGTACATGCAGCAAATTTTACTTTGCTTCCTTCTTGGCATGAGCAAATTTCAAATACTTCTTCCGTCTTTGCTATCCATTAGAATAGAGCCATAACTCCTCACGTCCCATTAAAGGATATGGGTATACTGTTGGTGAAATCCTTGTAAGTGCATTCCCCGGAACGACCTTGGTGTTGTCCATTTGTAGAGCTATTTATTCCTCCTCCTGACCCATTGTTACTCATTTGTGTCATTGTTGCCGTAACAGTAGCTGGTACGGATTCTTGGAAAACCGCATTGTCCATTAATGGGGGTGGTGGTGGAGGTGGTGTTGGTGTTCCTGTGGTATTGAAGCGTCGGGGAATTCTTCTTGGTGGCATGATTCTACCATAAGTTAAAAGATGAATTCTTGATAAGTGTTCAGAAATGATTATGGAAAGTCTTAGTATTATATGTTTTACGTTCCGGATACTACTGAATTTGTAAGTTAATTGCGAAATGGAAAACTATAATAATAAGTGTATGATTTACCTTAGTATTTTAAGAATTTAATGAATATCCAATGAAATAATAAATGCGTGTCAATCTCATTGATATTAATATTCGATACATTGATCAGGAAAATTTGACCTCAGCACAGCTCTAGAGTGCATCAATGAAAATGGGAAAATTTGACCGCATTCATACCCCCGAATTTTGTAGTCATAATCCGTCGGGTTTACATACATAAAAGGAAGAGTGGCACCAATGCTCACTCGATAGGTATATACATAGCGCAAGAAGTACGCGCTCTACTCCGAGCGGGTGGTACGTTGCAGACCACAGTATGATGTCGTGGAAGTCCGTGCTCGAGCTACTTGACGTTCAGCCTCGATGACGCACCTCTCCATTGTGGCTTGGTTTTTCTGGAACTCCCTTACCTCGGCTCTAGCAGCGGTAATGTCTTTCTGAAGGGAAAACGTGTGCTTTATTGTTCGATCGTGGTCTTCGTCCAGGCGACGAAGACGTACCTCAGTGATTTGGGCAGTGGCACCAACGTCCATGATTTGGTTGACTTTTATCCTTATTTGCTCGCCTTGATTGGCGATGCCACGAACCATGATTGGGAGTGCTCAGTCTGCCGAACTCCCGTTACGGAGGTCATAAAAGCCTTGTTTCATGCCGTAAGGTGGACGTTGTCCTTGCTCCCTACTCTATCATTTTAGACCTACAGCCCAGAGGGGCGTCAGGCCCTAAAAGTCCTGTTGGAGGTTTGGTACAACCTTCGGAGGATTGTAAACCTCGGCATCTGAGTTAGTGCCCCCATCATCAGCATCCTCTTCCTCTTCTTTGGGATCCTCTTCTGGATCTTCCTCGGAAACCTCTTCGGGATCCTCTTCTGGATTCTCCTCAATCTAACCTCCATTGCCCTTGTTTGGGTAGTAGGGATCCCCGAGGATATGAAATCATGCCATTTCGTCTAATAGAGAATTGAGATAAGAAAGTTATATATATAATTTGAGTGTGAGGAGAAAATTTTATGATAAGGCCTACACTGAGTCCTCCTATAATTACCTAGTGTATATGAATTACATACAATTGAGATAGAATGGACCGTAGGTTAAGTAGTTTCACTCCAAGGCCACATCCAAATAAGGAAAAGAGCATAAAGCGAAAACATAAATCTTAAGCCCATGTAACCTCACTCATGGGTAACCTTAAAGTAATGCACTTTGCAGTTATAGCCTTGTCAGTGAAGGCTTTTAGTTTTTGTAAGTTCAAATTTTATTTTATTTGACGATCCTAGTCCTAACTAAACGTCAGGGTTTTCTTGCTTGTTATAGTTTTTCTTGTTTCATAAATACTCCTATAGCATTTAAATTTGAAATTTTAATTCTAGTGTTACTTTGGTAAGTTTTTGACTTGTTGCTCACTAGATGTTGGTCATATCTCGGATAAATATAGTTGATCAGGCTATATTCATCCTAGATCTGATCACATATCCCGAGGCTTAGTAATAGTGTCCAACTTGTCTTAATACTTTTGTATGGTTCTAACTATGACATTAAACTATTGCATGCATGAATTCGTACATTTATGAAAACTAACATTTTAATTTAATGAAGTATGGTAGGCATGAAAGTGTTTTGTTAGAGAGTTTTAGTCCCTATAAACAATGCTCTAATACGAATATGTCACACCCCCAAACCAGAACGACGGAACTGTTCGAGGGCGGATGACTTCATGTAGTATCATAACAGTTGAGTATATAGTAAAGAAAGCAAACACAACCATCATAAATATAATTTAAAAAGTTACATTGTTGATTGTATTACATGATTCAAAATAAATTACATTATGATGATAAAATAAGTTTGAAATTGACGCCTTAGCGTCCCTTCTCCAAAAGTTGTTGTTACCTGTATTACTGAATCCGTGAGAAATACAAACAGTTTTGAAAAAGTGTCAACAATTAAGTTGGTGAGTTCATAAGCGTTTTTGTATAAGTATGGTACGCCTTTTTGTATAAAGTAACTGATTTTGTTTCTAGAAAATCCAATATTTTCCATAAATGAATAGTAGTTTTAAAATTTCCAAAAACTAGAATGCATAAGTATATTCCATACCAAAAATACTGTAAGTAGATTTATATATGTATATATAATCACTAAGGCATTTGATAGCCTCATAAATCAAATGTTTTAATACTTTATGTGAGTTTTATAATCATACTATTGACCCACACTGCCTGTCACAACGTTCTTCAGACGTTGGAATGATATGACGTTTGTCACCCCAGACCTACTGGTCCAACTGTAGTTAACAGTTTAGGTGCGGGATTTTCACTTCTGTATAGATCTATACACAAGTATCACGATCTCCCTACAAGAGATTATGATATATAATACAGGACTTAAAATACGTACGTGAAAATACGTGAAGTCAAATGTCTCACAAAGTTTGTATCAAATAGATTTACGTATGAAAAGTCCATTGTTCTTGTAAGTGTAAGTATTTCCTTCCTATAGTGTTTATAGAGTGTAAAATATCATGAATATCACGTAAACTATACCTACTATAGCTTTTCAAAAGTGTGTTTCATTTGAATGATAAACCTTAGTGCGTTAATAACCTTGCATGTAAAGTATAACATTTGTGATAATGTTATTTTACATATTTAAAATTTATACACAAATTGTAGAATAAGTATTTGAAACTGTATGTAATGATTTGCATTTTAACATAAGTTTTCCTTGCGTTTCACTTGTATTTCACCCCTAAAATATAGTAAAAACATGAAAATATAGGGGTCTGAGCTCTCCTGGTAAGTGTGATGATTTAAAGAAAACGAGACTTTTCTCGGGTAGCACTTCGATCGGGAAGTGGGAAATTTCATGGGATTTATGGACCTTCGGACCTTCGTCGTAGCTTAGATATGTAACTGGGGCATCAAGATAATTTCGGGAGCTTCGAGAGTGAGAAAATATGGGAGAAAGGTTGTAAATTGGCAAGAATAGCTGGAACCCTCGCATCCTATTTATAGGAGGGGAACCTGGCCCTCGTACGTTGGGCGTATGCACGTACGCTGGGAGTACGTCAGCGATGACGCCACCCTTAGACACCAAAATTTGGATGGGACGGGATATAGTTCATAGAGGACACGTGGTCGATCCGAGGCCTTCCATCAGGTACGCTGGGCATACTTTCGTACGCTATAACGTACCCCCTCGGTTTGTGTGCCCCGATCTTCTATAATGCGTAACTTTCACATACGAGCTCCGCTTTTGACGTTCTTTATATCCACGCGTAGGTGAGAACATAATCTACAACTTTCATTTAGACTTCATTGGAAAATTTTGACTTTATTTATAATTATATATTTTTAACAGGCCGGGACAGGAAAAGTCCGTTAGAAATTCATAACTTCTTCATCCGATGTTTGTTTTCGTGTGTCTTTTTACCGTTGTACTACTATTGTCAAGATTTCCAATTATTATTTAGGTGGTGTTGGCTAAATATCACTGGATCTCTATTTCAAGTTTTTAGTTGTCTACCACTACTCCGAAACTTAGAAAAATCATAACTTCCTCATACAAAGTCAGATTTGAACGTTCTTTTTATGTACGTTCACGATTTAATGGATTCTAAAACTTTCGTTTAGATTCCTAAGGCTAAAAAGTATTTTATTTAAATTTCGCGTTTTACGATTAATAGTGTTTTACCGGTTTTGCTATGTATTTTCGATTGGTCATAATTTCTTCGTTAAAACTTGGATTTTTGTGTTATTTACATTTTTTAAAATCTTGTTACGATATCTATTACTTTATGTATCTTAATTGAGACTTTTGAACATTTCATTTCTGATGCTATATTTTTTTTATTTATTAATTCAAAATAGATTACAATACTTGATATAGGTCATTACATTGACTTGAAATATCGGGTTGACACAACTATCCTAAGAGTTATAGATTGGTGTGAGATTAGTAGAAAAGATAAAGCCCTAAGTTGTTTTCATTTGAGAAATGTTATTTAAGATATAAAACTTGTTGAAAATGGAGTTTGTTTGAGAAAGTTATTGCCATTTGAAGTTGAGGTGAAAGAATGTTGCTATTTTGAAAGTCAACGGTCAAACTCTTGAATCTCACATCATGGATGAATGTTTGTCATGATGTGGCATTGAGAATGTCACGAGGTGACTAATATGTCATCACGACATGACATGTGACGAGCCATCGAGACACGTGAATGGAGAGTACAACACGTGGCGAAACCAGGGTTCAATTGGTCATGATGATTTGACATATATATGGTCATGACGTGACCACTGTAGGTTATATATGTGCGTTTTTGTGCCATTTAAGGGATTATCGCACATTCGATAGAAGATGCTGCCTAGGAGTCGTTTATGGGATATTATATCGGTGGAGTTATACTGATATACGTGAGATACATGCTGAGTTACGAGATCGGGTTGGTGTTGGCATGTGGTGTGTTGGAAGGAAATGTAGATCGAGGACCAAAGTTGATGTATCTGCCAACTGATCTGGTGATTAACACTACTCTACACCCGTTGTTTGTGATAATTGTGTGTCACAATATGTGAGTTATGTGTAGTGTAGAGATTTGAATATTATATTGTTGATGTTATGATGTTATAGAGATACATATATACCATAAGATAGTATGTTATTCTTGTAGGTGGATTATATGAGACAAAGTTGTGATTAATGTGTCACAGGCTAACACTGTTGTTATCTGTTGATGTGTCGCAGGTTGGCATCGTTGTTATTCGTTAATGTGTCACATACTAAAATTGTTGTTATTTGTTGAGATGTCATAAGATGACATTGTCACACCCCTAAACCAGATCGGCAGAATCACTTGAGGACGGATGACTTCATGTAGTATCATAACAATTGAGTAAATAGTAAAGAAAGCAAACACAACCATCATTAATATAATTTAAAAAGTTACATGGCTGATTGTAATACATGTTTCAAAAGAAATTACATTATGATGATATAATAAGTTTGAAATTTGACGTCTTAGCATTCCTTCCCCAAAAGCTGTGGTTTACTTGTATTACTAAATCCCTGAGAAATACAAGTAGCTTTGAAAAAGTGTCAACAATTAAGTTGGTGAGTTAATAAGCGTTTTTGTATAAGATTTATATGCCTTTTTGTATAAAGTAATTGAGTTTGTTTCTAGAAAATCCAATATTTTCTATAAATGAATGGTAGTTTTTAAAAGTTCAAAAGAACCGGAATGCATACGTATTTTCCATACCTAAAATAATGTAAGTAGATTTATATATGTATATATAATCACTAAAGCTTTTGATAGCCCCGTAAATCAAATGTTTTAATACTTCATGCGAGTTTTATAACCTTACTATTAACCCAGACTGCCTATCACAATGTTCTTCAGGCGTTGGAATGATACGACGTTTGTAACCGCAGAACTGCTGATCCAACTGTAGCTAACAGTTTAGGTGTGTGATTTTCAATCCCGTATAGATCTATACACAAGTATCATTCTCTCCCTACAGGAGATTATGGTTTATAACATAGGACTTGAAATGCGTACTTGAAAGGACTTGAAATGCGTACTTGAAAGT